GACTAAACACCAAGGCGCACGGAACGCTGTTACCTTCCCACTGAAGTGGTACCTATTTATCTACTTGCAATTTCTTGCTTTCGAACTGCTAGGTTGACAGGAGCTGGAACTAGAGACAGGAGCTCACTACGTCATGCGTAGTCTCGAACTGCTGAACTACTGACCTTCCATGGCCTGCAGTTCAGCGTCTTGGTTCCTTCTGGTTTGGGGCTCTCTGTTAGTTTCAGTTTCAAAAGTTTCTCTTTCTCCGTCCTCTTCCCCGCCATCTTTCTCGATTGTTTACTTTGACAAATATTTTGAAAGTCTCTGAATATGCGCCCAAACGCTTAAACTCGCCTTGGTATTTCCTAACAGTTATGTATGCTTTCTCTTCCACTCCCCACCCTCGATTTGCTCAAAAGTTCATGCGGTTGGAAGGTGTCCCTCCCCCGCCCGCCTCACTTTCCGTTTTACAGAATGGGGTAGGGAGCTTTATTTTCTCTTTAACCGCCGCTTATGTTAGACTCATGTTGATAGTTGGTCCTCAGACCCCTTTTTAAAAAGTCATTTCTGCCGCTCAACCTCCTATGCTTGCCCCGGTTGGCGTCACTTGAGTCCATTTGGCCTTGCGGCACGAAGAACCTTCGGGACAGAGAGGCGCCTCAATTCCCTGGCATTCCGCCGGCGAAGAGGCGACCTCTCATAAGTTCCCTGGCCAGACCCCCTTCTGCCGGGTCCCTGGGGGGGTGTGACGAGTCTGCGCACCCCCTCCTTTGGCCGGAGCGCAGCTTCACCCCCGGGAGGTCCGGGAGGTGAGTCTGCTAACGCGCCGCCATAAACCGGAAGTCCCTGCAGTTCAGCGTCTTAACCACTTGAGCCACCGCAGCTCCGCCTTATGTATACCCCCCCACAAAAAACCCACCCCAAATGTATCACCTGTTATGGTCTCACAGAAGTTGGAATCATTGAGAATCTTTAGCTGTATTCAGTAAAACTGATTCACCACTGTGTGTGTGTTGAAACAAGAAAACATGATTGAAAAATAATGGACTGGACCCAATTACTCCTGTCTGCTGAGAAGTCTTCTTCCAACAGAGGAAGGCTCCACTCTTAATGGAAGAGAGCCATTGACCCAAGACCAACAATACCCGTGCAAGTGGAAAACAATGCCAGTTGTTAGCTGCCCCACACCTACTGTTACTACCAATGATTGCATAATGCAAAAATGTTAACAGTCCAATAAAACTGCTGAATTGTCACAAGCTCCATTCATTTTACTAGTAAAGTACATTAAGAACTACGGTTTTAATTCTACTCATTTAGTTATGATTCACTTCAGCAAATGCATATTATGTACTTTCTCGATTATTTTGGCATTTATTAATGTTTGGTTAAAATGCTGCCCCCAACTGCCATGTGATTTTTTCTGAAGTGGAAGCTTAAGTTGTCCTTGGAATTTGCAACAGATTTTACAACCTTTAGGCAAATTACAATCAGGGTGCTCTTATTTATAGGTGTTCATCTCCTTTGTTAATAAATTTCTTAAGGCTCTGTTTGACTCTGCTAGTGATGCTTCATGGAAGGGATCCTAATTTGATGTACTGATTATAATTATGAAAATGCATATTACACACACTTGGTATTAATCATCTTGTTTAGAAAACACTTTCCCCTAAATAATTCTGCCCTCCTTAGGATGCAAAACATTTGTAAAATGTACTTTTGCAGTTGACCAAGCAAAAGTGCTTTATCCAACTTACTTGCTTTATTTGGTGAAATGATGGTCAATAGTTGTTACAGTTGGGGGGGGGGGTATGGACTCATATTCAACAGTATTGAATCTACCCCATGCAAACTTGGGTGAAAATGCAGTAAATTATTTTCCCCCAAAATACAAGATGTTTATTGAAGCTTGGTTTTTTAAAAAATAAATATTAACATATGTGGAATGTTTGCCCCTCAAATTAAATGTTCCAAAGTGTGGTTTACCCTCCATTTCTACTTGTATCTCTATCTATCGACTATCTGTCTAGTATTGCTCATACGGCTATCACCTTAAGCAGAAATTAGAAAATATTTTAAAAGACCATACTCAGTATTATTTCTCTTATATTTGATTATTGCACCTATGAATTTTGCCACTGAGTGTGACACAATCATTGGTATCCAATAGTAGCCATGACATCTATGCTCGCATGTTTAGCACTTCCATATTTTTAAGTAAAGTGGTGACTAAATTAACCCTCAAATCATCAAATATAGGGCACTCCATAATCATATGTTCAATGGTTTCAATTGTATGATATGAGCATCTGCATGTTCTATTAGAATATGATACTTTATTATATCTGCCCTCCAAAACTGTTGAGGGAAAAACATTCAGTCTTGCCAAACTAAAAGCTTTTCTTAGTTTTGGGACTGTCAATTGATAAAAATATTTCGGCAATTGCATCGGGAGGGCAATTTCCAAATTTGTCAGTCGAACATACCCTGCACACCCTAATAGATGTACTTGTAACATCCAATTTCCTTTTAATTTGTCTTCTAATGTCTTTAGTTTCTGTATTTTTAATCATATCATTTGTTATTCCTAAACATTTCATTTTCTTTTACAATAGTTGATCCCATTGGCTGTAATGTGTATCTGCTTGGATAAGCCTGCCTGGATAAATTGATTGACTTGTTCCATAGATTGGCCTATGTCCCATTTGAAGATTTCCCCTTTTCCTTTTGGTAAATACTATGACCTTGGATTTTGCCACATTGATGGACAAGCCCTCAAGTAAAGCTTGAAATTTTTTATCAGCTTGTGGAGGCCCAGTATTGATCTTGACATTATCACTGCATCATCAGCGTATAGGATTGGAACTTCGTGCTTGGATGTGGAAAATGACATGCTTCCTTCAGGATATTTATATATAAATTGAACAGGGGTGCAAGTTTTTTTCTACTTGTTGATGAATGATGACTGTACTTGCCTTTATCTTCCTAAATGGTCTGGAAGACAGTTACAATATAGGTTAGGTATATTCTGATGTTCTGTAATCAAGATGTTGCTATATGTTATGCTATCATAAAAGACATGGAATAAGATTCTACTATATATACTAGATTTTGCTTGTGTTTCTAGTGTAAAATGGACAGGTGGATCCTGTGGGTGGTAGGAATATAAACTACTCAAATTATATCTGGTCTGTACTTGCAGTGCAGTCTTAGTTTTAGTGGATTTAGGAGGAGCGAAGGCAGCATGGTGTAGCCTGAGCCCATCAGATCTCAGAAGCGAAGCAGGGTTGGTATTTGGACAAGAGACCACCAAGGAGGACTCTGCAGAGCAAGGCAATAGCAAATCACCCCCACTTCTCAGTTGTTTTGAAAGCCCCTTGCTGGAGTTGGTATATAACCCAGGAGATTCCTAGTTCAAATCTCACCTCTCCCATTACCTCACCAGATAGCCTTAGGAAACCAATCTCACCTCATCATATAACCATATCATTATTATATAACAATACCCTACCTAACAGTGTTGTTATAAAGAATACATGAATTGCTTTGACCACTGTGTCACTCCATGTCATTCCTGAAGATCTGCATACGTATAATTCACATAATACACTTGTACTCTAAAGTCATGATTGGCATGGCTTCCCATGTATTTATGTATAGCTAATTTGTTTTCAGGATTTTATATACCCAGGAATTCAGTTTCCCTCTATGCTTAGTGTGAGCTAGCTCACAGTTTTTTAGCCTCTGGCTCACACATTTTTGCCTTAGCCCGGAAAGGATGGCTCCAGAGCAAACTAATTGATGCAGCAGGTAAATCGCTCATTCACGTTAATGCCAGTAACTCACACAGTAGAACTTTTGCTCACAAGACTCCACAGCTTAGAGGGAGCACTGCCCATGCATACAATGTTTTACACAAATTGTTCTCCTGTAGGAAGACAGAAGTCCAATGGCTTCAAGATTTCCTGTACTCTACAAGTCTTTGACATTTATAAGGGTTCCTTCAGGTATCCATTTTTCTATACAGAGGCAATCTGTGCTTTCTTGGACATGACTTGAAGATCATGACTTGTGTATTATGTATACTCAATGGAAAGGCCCACACAAACATTGTGGGATTTTATGCTTTTTCCTGGTCCAGAAGCAAGGAATTGCCATAAATTTTATGGCTGGAATTCCAGAGTGTGTATGCACTGATACCCTTTTTTGTATGTGCATCTGTGGGGTCAGGGTGGCAATACACAGAATGGTAGAATAATCCCTCCTCCCTGCGCTGAAAGTAAGATCCAGTGGATCCCTCCCAGGTTCTGCTGCTGAGTCCCAGTCAGTCTGGGCACAACTCAAGAGACGCTTTCCAGGGGACATCATCCCCGAAGATGGCCTTTCCCTAGTCCACTGGCACTGGCTGGATGGGTCTGTAAACTCGAGAAGGGGATCCCGCTTCCTGGGATCCGCGGGATCTCCCGGCGGTGCGGCCGCGAAGGGGGTGTGACGGTGTGTGCATGCATGTGCATGAGGGAAGCGGAGCGCCTCCCGCTGCCTCCTCCTCCTCTTCCTTCGCCTCCTCCCGGCGGCTACCCAGAGTGCTGTAGCCGCGACCAGGCAGGCGCAGGGAAGCGGCCTCGGCCGTGGTTGTCGTCGGTGGCTCCCTCCTTCGGCGCCCGTCTCCGGTCCTTGTCGCGAGGGGAAGAGGAGGACGGCGCGGCTCCACGGCTGGCTCCCACCGGCGCAGGGGCAGCTGCTCCAGGGCCCCGGCTGAGGGATCGGCGGCGGCGGCGGCGCGGCCCAGCATGCGAGTGTGAGATGCTTCCCCCGGCAGCGGCTCCTGACTGGGCCCAGGTGGCTTCGGCGGCCCCCGCGCCGTGGATGCGACTCCGGAGCCGGCGCTTTGCCTTCCACAAACATTTCTATAGGACTCATTCGCCCTGCTGAGGGAGGAAAAAAAGAGAGAGAAATAATTACGAGAGAAGCGAGCCGATAATTAAAAAAAGAAAGATTTCTCCCTCCTTCCCCCCAAGCCCCCGAGCCCCTCTCTCCCTGACGGCTCATGGAGCCCGCCGGCCGAGCCCCGCCGCTCAGCGTCACCCAGTTGGGTCGCCTGCGGGAGGAACATGGAAAGGTAAAGAAAGGGGAGGACGGGGCGGGGTGGAACGGCGCCCTCCTGACTGGAGCGCTCCTCTGAGGGGAGGCTGTGGAGTGCGGGGGCTCGCCTCAGGCCACGGGGTCTGACGGGGCGCTGGAGGAGAGGGGGCGGGGCGGCAGGGCGCGCGCGCGCGGGCGTGCGTCTGATGTCCCCCTTCTCTGTGAGGGGCGGTTGGTGGCGGAAGGGTGTCATGCGCGCGGGTCTTGTCAACACCATGCAATGGCGGGGGGGGGTTTGTGTGTGTGTTTGTCAGGGGGGGGGGTTCTCTTTTTTTAAAAAAACCTAAATGTTCTCAGATGTGTTAATGAACATTTCAGACTGCACGTTGGGAGGCTTCCTCCCTCTCCCTTTGTGTTCATGGGAACTCCCGTTTCCTCAGGAAATCCTTTCACAGGATTAGTCTTTCCTCGACTCATCCTTTCTCCTCACAGGGGTGAAAGGGCACTAAAGGCCCTTCCCCCGGCCTTTTTTAACCCCCCCCACACACACACACTTCTATTCGGTGGATCTGGCTCCCATAAGTAAATCCTTGCACAGGCTGTTATCAGTTTATTCTTGCTCATCACAGGGGTGGGAGGGCACTTCCTCCTCGTGCTCATTTTTAGTTTCGGTATGTGTTTATAGCACATGTTCGAGAACCATTTTTACCACAATTGCCCTTTGAACTCTTAAGCACATGGGTGAGCTCTTGGTGGGTTGGGTGCTTCCAAGGCTGTTAAGATTTGGTCATGAGCACCTAATGCAGATTACTTACCCAGTTGATTTTAGTTAACTACTGTTTGGTACTCATAACATCAATCCAATTTGCTGTTGACATATAGCGAACCTTTTAGAGACCGAGTGCCCAAACTGCGACCCAAAACCAACACGGCAATTTAACCTGAATACTGAGGTTTTACTTTAGAAAAAAACAACTCATACATTAACTTAAAATGATCCAAACAAAGTAAGGAAAGCAATCCCAAATGCTTTCATTTACTTAAAATTATTTGGCAGAGAATTCGACACTTTAATGATGGTCTGGGCCTGGCTGGGGCGATGTCACGCGTGCCCACAGAGAGGGCTCTGAGTGCCAGAACACCACTGACATAAGTTACCCCTTGGCCTCATTTAACTACTTTGCTCTGATGGTGGCAACCTGATTGGGCTGTCACAATTGTTTTAATGCGGATTAGTTACCTCTTGATTTATTTTCTTGTATATATACAAATTTGACAATTTTAAGTGTTGTTTTTTTTTAAATCCTGTACAGTTGCTATGGCTTTCTTGCTAATGCAATAAAGATTATTATTATTAATATTATTTTCTTGTACTTATGACTGTCCACATCCCTTTTTTACTTGCAGCTAATATGCAGACGGAGTTACCCCTCAACCTCTTTCAACCATGTTGTATGACAGTCACAACCCTGTTGTACTGTCACAATCATTTAACATGGATTAAACCCCTTCAAAACCTGTTAATCTTGCTGATGTAACCACAGTTGTTGGAGGACAGACTCCTTGTCACTTTATATAATGAATTTATCAGTGAAATGTGGATTCTATTTGTACTGGAGAATTTATGGAATGAAATGTGTTTTTATGGTATTCAAAAGGGTGTGTGTGTACATAGAAACTTTGGGGTGAAGGGGACATTCATCATGGGCAATGCTTATGAATAGGTGAGTGAACAGATAGATACTGTAACTGTTGATGAAGGTGGTTTTTTGTTTCTCAGTATGCATATTTGTTATTATACTTACATTCCTCTTTTCAGAGAGCAGTTGTCACTCAGAACAGTTCATATCAGGTTAAGAAACACAGGTCCCTTCCCTAAGGCTTGCAGACTTAAAAGGCAAGAGACGCAAGGGAGCAAGAGTGGGAGGAAAAGAAAGAGGACAGTCCAACAACATCAATGTGTATAAGGGCAAGCTGATCTCCTGTAGCTTGTGTTTTTCTCCAAGAGGTAGGGTATGCAACCTGAACTCTCCCTAGAAGCTAAAATGACTTGACTGAGACTCTCATACTTTGTTCACATTATGGGAAGGCGAGACTCATTGGAAAAGACAATAACGCTAGGAAAAGTTGAAGGCAGCAGGGAATTAGGAAGAGCCACATGAGATGGATTGACTCAGTAAAGGAAGCGACAACCTTTAGTTTGCAAGACCCAAGCAAGGCTGTTAATTATAGGACATTTTGGAGGTCATTAATTTATAGGATTGCCATATTGGAAGCAACTTGATGGCACTTAATACACACACACACAGTGTGCAGCCTTATAGTAGCTCTTGGAACTCTAGTTGGTGGCAGATGCTAGGGTGTCCTTTACTTTTGTGTGTACGTGTACATGCTGAAAATGAAATCGAAGCGGAAGATCAGGACCATCACATAGTTGTTTTCAGGCAGTGGGTTAAAGGCCAGGGTTATGTGGCTGTTGTGGCTGATTGGTTGTAGAGTAGGATTGTTAGGTCAGATGCTGTCTTTAAAACACATCTACCCAACAAAGATTAAACATTAATAGTTGTCCTCTTCAAATACACGTGGCATGATAGAAATCCTATGATTAGGAGAGTTAGTACAATATATGATTAAGGTGCGACATGTCCACGACTTACCAGAGAATGGTGGAAAGGTAGCGTCGCAAATTGATTATTTTTGGAGGGACAGTGCCCCAGTTTGGTGGGGATGAAATGGCTTGGTGGAAGTCTGATGTGAACCTCACAGCCCACCACATTGACTCCAGTGTGAACCAGGCCCCTCCACAGGAGCACTCAGTTACATTCCAATCCAGTTTGTATGGTTTTTGAAAAGAGAAAACATACACATGCACACACAAAGTTGGCCTCCATGTGATTGGGTGTTCATGCGGAGAAACAGGCTCACAATGAAGGCTATCGGTGGTGGAGGAAAGGGGCTCATACTTCCCTTCTACGCTATTCCCAGCTGAATGTGAACCGGAGAATTGTTTATTGTACATACGGGTTTTGTACCTGGGGCTGGAAGAAAGTAAGTAGGATATAATTCCTAAGTGGGAAAGTTCTTCTGGGCCTCTGTAAGTAGGAATTTAAAAATTGGCATCTTGTCTCATCTTGCCAACTGCTGTAGGCATTACACCTGCTGGTGAAGGAGGAATGGAGAAAGTGCAGGGAGTGCTTGCGGTGGGAACAGTAACTCCTCCTGCAGCACCATTGCAGAGCATAGATATGGTCCCTTCTCTATAGTTGCTGTAAGGCCAATGAGTTCATGGCAATGAGCTTTAGCTGTGGTGCTACTTGGGCATAGCTTTTGTTGGGGGAAAAGTTTAATTAGTTTACAAAGAGGAAAAAGTCTGGGAATGTCTTCCCAATTTTTTCTGTTGGACACCTTTTATTGATTCCTTAGGGTTAACTAGATAATGTGGGAGAACCCAAATGTATTTCTTCATGTGCCTCTGGGTTAGTGTGTAAAGCAGTAGGGTGAGATCTAGTTTAATAGAAAGTGGGAGTATAAGGGTATGGAGAGCTAAACCTGTCCCCTAATGTGAGCTGAGTTTGAAGAAGAAAGCTTGGGAGAATGGAGCTCAACTAGTAAGGTGGGGTCAAGGCCTAGTTACCCATCACTCCCCCTCTTTCCTAAAAATAGAAGATGTGAATGGGAAGTTACATAGACCCCTCTGCTCATCTATACTTGTATAAGTAGACAAACGGGATGACATAAGTACAGTTGGGGGTCACTGTGAGCAGAGTTTAGTTTAATAACGGTTCCAAAATATGTGATTATTTTATAATGCTAACATCAACATTATTTGAGGTATAAAAACTGAGGTGGGAACTCAGGGTTTAAATCCTGAACAGTTGCAGATAGAATCATAGAGAGGGTTGCTTGCTCTGAGTTGGGAAATTCCTGGAGATTTCGGGGGTGGAACCCGGGGAGGACAGGGTTTGGGGAGGGGGGGACTTCAGTACGGTATAATGTCATAGAGACCAACTCTCGAAACAGCCATTTTCTCCAGAGGAACTGATCTCTGTTGACGAGACCAGTTGTAATTCTAGGAGGTCTCCAGACACCACCTTGAGGTTGGCGATCCTATTTATAGATCTTAAAACATACCACCCCTGAAATTATAACATACAATGGCCCCGGCCACACGTGCCAGAAAATGTGCGGGGGGAGGAGGCGTGGCTATTTGCGCTGTCGCATTCTGACCCGCCATTATGCAATCAGACACGACGGCGGTGCACTGGGGTTTTGTCCTTCGGCGCACGCTGCAAAGAGGACGGCCGGAGGGAATAGGCGTGCGCCGGCAAAATTACACCGAACAAGTCCGTCTGCAGCCCATGACAAACCATTTGCTAGTAGATCTTTGCAGGTACTTTTTAATTGTGCATCTTCGGCGGCACGCCACGGGTTGGCCATGGGTGCGCTACGCTTGCCAGATGTTGTGGTGTGATTGCGCCCCGAAAATCCACCCAGCATTCGTGCCTTTTGTGCGGCAAATTCTCTGTGTGACTGGGGCCAATACTTTTTTTTGTGGGGGGGAGAGTTAAGGATGGGGAGGTCTCCTGCTATAGGAGTGCAGTATTACAAATCATTAAACTGCTGCTGTTTTTTAGTATTTAGGTATACATTGGCCAAAAGAAAAGCATGCATCAGTTTCTTAATTTTGTTCAGCTTGTTTTCAGCAACTGTGCTAATCTTAATTTTTGGAAAGGTTAGAATGTAAGAGCAGCCATGCTGGATTAGAACAATGGTCCATCTAGTCCAGCCCTTGCTTCAAACAGGGCCCCCCCCGGAAGGCCAACATAGGCCCCAGTCACACTAGTGGGAAAAGCCGCGGCAGAAGTGCGGCTTTTTAGAGCCATAGCAAAATGAAGCGCGGCATCGGGATCATACAGATCCCCCGAGCCAAGCTGCATTTTCTCCCTGGCACGATCACATGCCAAGGGGGAAGCCGTGGGAAAAAGGCGAGGCAGCTGCGCAGTGTGGCAGGGCCTCACATACCACGGGATACGGGCG